CTTAAAATAAACCCAGTTGTTCCAATCTGAAATAATTGTTGAAGAAAACCACTCGTTTGCTCATGACAGACTTGGCACCAATGCAGAAAAAAAAATATTCTGACATGGTTACAAGTGGAAACTTAAACTTCAACAACCTTTTCAAGCTCTGCTGATCCCAGATCTGGGCTAGAGTTAAGAGCATAAGCATACCAAAAAGGATTAAAAGTAAATTAGCTGAATTACTGAGAGGTAACTACATTCTTGTGGGAGTGTTCATTATGGAGCATTTTTGTGTGGCTTTGAGGGTTTTTTTATTTGGGGGGGGTTAACTCCAAGTAGATAAAAACACCACTAAACTTCTAATCTGTTACCTGCCGTGGTCAGACACCAGGACTCAGGTTCCAGGTCTCTCTTTAGAGTTTATAGTAACTCTCTATATAACTTTATATATTAGAGCACTCTTTACATTAACACCTGACAGTCAGCTATAGCTCAGGGATGTGCTGCAGGCTCCGTGCCATCAGCTGCAGCACAGAGGAAACCAGAAGATGAACTTTTTGTCAGGAGGTAAAGCAGCTTTTGCATCGCCTTTACAGAGAAGTCCTCACTCGCAGGGTTTGGTATTTTAAAGATGTGTTCTTTTATAAAGCCCTAACCATCTTCGATATCCGGCATCATTTCCACAGTCTGAAATACAGCCAATACGTGCTGAAGGTGACGGGGCACTTGTCTTCCAAGTGACAAGAATAAACAAGATCCTTCCTAAAGGATAAAACCGCCGAAACCCTACAACACCCATATGTTTGTATTTTCACCACTCAACCAAAAGAAAAAAAAAAAACACAAACAAGAGAACCTACAAAGACGACACCGCTTTGGATCAAACCTCACACCCTCCGTGCCCGTCTCCGACGCCCTCCTCACCGAACCTACAGCCCGTCTGCCGAAAAACCACGGCGTCAGAGGGCAAAGCAGGGCAGGCGAGACCCCGGAGCGACGGCCAAGTGCCGTAACCTCCTTCTTCCCTCCATCAGCCCCGGCCTCGCCGGCCTCCCCGAGCACGACCTCCCCGGCCATCCGCGCCCCACCGCCGCCTCCACGCACGGCTGTCCCAAAGATTTCCAGCCTCTGGGGAGAGGAAAAAAAAAAAAAAGAAAAAAAAAAAAAACACCTCAGTAAAAGTATACCAAATGACTCTGAATGCAAAAAATACTAAAGCAGAAAACGATCACAAAGTGGGTCATGTGGTTGAAGGGAAAGTTGGTAGAATTGCAGTGCTTGGATGGAACTGTTAGAACCCGCCCCCCCGCGTTGAATGATCCAAACGCCAGTTTTGCCTTAAAATAACGGGGGGGAAAAAAAAACACAAAAAAACCCCAAAAAACAAAACCAACACCTTAAACTCAGTAAACCGAAGAGGGTTTTCGTTCTGTAAAAGCTCATCCCCCGCCACCGGAGGCACCTGCCCCGGCCTGGCGGTGCCCACCGGCCC